GCACCTTTAGTGAGTCAGATGGAATGACTGGTTGGACACAGGAAAGCAGAACATAGCCATTGTGGCTGGCTCTTGGCATGAGAAATAACTCCAGGGGTCCGGGACAGTTTACCACTGTCAGAAATGTCACCAGAGAGATAAGAAAGCGAGTAGACCTGGCGAGGCCAGCTAGCTGATGTCAGCTAGTAAAGGAACAGTGGGCACAGTCATTGCCTGAAAGAGAATAAGTGCAGCAACTGCGACATGCACATGAGTAATACCAGCAGGATCTGGCATAGAGTCCTGCACTTTGAGGATACCATAGTAGGATTGTATTAGTAAGTACCATAGTAGAGTACTTAAATATGGCCTTGTATGGCTGGAGGAAAAAGTTTTCCGACTCCCACAGTTGCAGTGTATTGGGCACAGAAAGCCTGGCACTCTAGCTCTGGGTTTGTGTTTGTAACTTCAGGCAAGAGAATAAATCTATTATTGAATACTCTTGAGAGAGCTGTGAGAACTAAGTGAGGCATCAAAGCTTGTGAGAGACTTAAGCCCAGTTTGATAAGAAGTTTTTGGATTGTGCTCTAACTTGAGAATAAGAGAGCAGTGTCTGAAGGGCATCATCTTGAGTTTTTGAGGTATTTGTGATGTGCAGTGCTATAGGTGGCAGAGGTTCAAACCCTTTGGTCTGTCGAATGGGGTTTTATTGTGTTTGTGTCTCTGGATTGCATAGGTTTGAATCCTGTGGGTCTATGATGGGTTTGGAAACTTGTGAACAGGGATCTGTGTGTTTGGTCACTTGTGGATGTGTTTGTGGTTGGTTTTTAGCTTAGAGCACAAAGCTTTGAGTTGTGTATTGTGTGTGTTAGGGAATTGAGTTGATCTGAGCTGTGCTTGGAACCATTTGAGAGTTTTGAAGGAGTGTTTCGACGTATTGTATCGAGTTGCAGTACCCTTTGCCTTGAGGCTCAGCAACACCCATTGCCACCTCTTGTTTTAATAAAATGAAAAGCTTTGAGACTTAGAAAGACCTTGGACTGTCATAAGCATGCTATTGCCATTCACGTACTGTGATCTCATTAAAGAAGATGATTATATTTGTTGATTGCTACTTTTATCACATTATAATCCCCCCACGAACTAAGAGTTTTGTGTGTGTGTTGGTGTGAGTGTGATCAGTGGAAAACACTCTGCTGTTCCTGCAATCACATTGCATGCATTTAGAACCTCTTTACCACCACTACTACCACAGCCACAGCTACTACCACACCCCTCTCACCAGACTCTACTCCTATATACTCATCCTCTCTCTCATATGATGAGTGGGTCTTTCATAATCAGCTCACCCACTTGAACATCATTCTCAACATTCTTAACCCTATTGGTCTAGGGGTTAAGACTGATGGAATGGCAAAGGAATGCTGGGACTCCATTGCTGCAGAACATATAAAGAAAATGGATATGACCCTTTCCAAGGCTGAGGCATTGCTAAATGCAATGAAGTTTGATGGGAACAGTGATATCAATATTCATGTTACTGA